CCTAAATGATACTACTATTACTACTACTAACAATAATAATAATAATAACATCGGGAAAACTCACTGTCAGCAATTTGGTGGGAGTATAGCCCTCCTTTTCCAATGTTCAATAAAAGTGTATCTGACATTTTCGTACTTTTTCCATCCGTTCACTATGTCGGTGTTGTATATAAACCTGTAGTTCTCACTTGGAACTTCATTTCGATTATCCTATATATCTCTGAACATTACTATAGCGCACCTCAAGTTACCGTATGAAGAAAGCATAGTAAGTGAAACTTAGAGCTTGAAATGAAGTCTCCAATGAAAATTATACACTTTTGTAGAGGATTCACTTAATGAATGGAGAAATGCTAGATATTGCACATATGTCAAATATTGAGAAATTAGAGACGCGCTACAAATTAACGAACACATATCTCATCCTTTAATTTGTCGCCACATAATTTAAATAAATATGGAAACATTAAGACTGTGAAGATGTTGCCGATATTTCGCCTTCCGGATATCATCAGGTTCATTAGAATTCAATGGTATGATTTTTTAAAGCATACTTCACTGATGAGTAGTTATCTAATGGTTTGAGATGTATGGACACATAAACAGTAGTTTTTAAACTCATATTTTTATCACACATGAGATGCCAGTGATAAATGATAATAAACAACACGGTAAACCGATAGTAGCTGATCACAACCAAAACGACTTCATATTATTCTGGACAAATTTAATCTTTATGAGGTATAATTTTTCTACTCCCTTACACTTGATTATTTACTGAACAATGACTAATGTCATATATATCTAGTCTTTTTAGTGCTGATAAAGTTCTGTTGATCAAGTTGCAATGTGACCACTAGTTTGAGTGAATCTCTTATTAGTAGCGACCTTATCACATGAATTAGAAAGTCTATAGAGTATTTAATATATAATTTAAGACACAGTACCTTGGTTACTTACTATTGTATTAGTATTCTACGTGGCAAGTTGGTCATATGCAATATAGAACCTGAGACATGTGTGCATCGGTTGCTGTTGCTCCACCACATTAGCACAGTGAGATGAAATTAATATGACAAATTCTAGATCAATGGAATCAGTAACTTCAGCAGAAAAAATTAGCTATAAATTATGTGATTAAAAAAAATGAATAGAGTCGTGGGATATTAAAACATTATAAAATAATTTTGAATCTTAGAATCCGAGGGTAGAAATGTATCTACATCATTGTGACCAATTATAAGCTACACTACCCAACGTCTTCAATACATTCATTTGACTCATTTACTGTGTGCAAGTTTATCAACTTGGTTTTAAGTTACATTCCTCAAGCAAGGGCTAATTATACTATTCAGCTTTCAAGACCAAAATAGTTGTTATTAGGTCCGAACCTGTGATATAATGCTTGAAGGCTTAACGACTTAACTACTTAAACGCCTCTTCTTTTACAAGTTGTTATCATTCTGGTACATTGATTATCTATTGTCAACGTTACTCTCTTCCCTTCGTTTGTTATATGTTTATTATAATAATTTCCAATCGTAAACTTTTTGAAAATTGTGCTCTCTCTTTGAATTATTGATCATTTTAAAAACATTGTCTATCGGGTTGCATATCGTAAACTTTGCTAATACATTTTGTTACAATATCTATTCACCTGTAGTTTATTTCTGAAAATAGTACAAATTCTGCCCTGTTTATATTTGTGAAGATTTTTTAAAAGTAAAAATAATTTTAGAAGCAATTTTCTCAGTGTATTATTATTATTATTATTATTATTATTATTATTATTATTATTATTAATATTATCAATCATTATCTAGAATTGTACAAATGAATTAAAATGAAATATTTGACCTAATTTACTGATTAACTTGTATTCACATATACTTGATTTGTTTTGTATTACAAGTGCTTTCTCTTTCTTTCTCCCTATCTATCTATTTTTGTTTGTTTGTATGTATACAATTGTGCGAATAAGATATCTCAGACAATAAACGATACTTACTGGCTTTTTTTTTTATCTTTTTTCATTCTCTCTTCTTTCTTATTCTTCTCTCTATGTAAACAGCTGCATGAATTACTTCTAGTCTAGGTGATTAGTAAAATAGAAGAATTCTCTTCGAGTTAATTCATACATATATGTATGTCGCCTACTCTATTCTTTTCACTATAACTAGTTTTCCCCAGAGTTAAATGTGATATTCAGTTTATCCATGTAGGGAGGTAGACAGTATTAATACCTCACCTCTCTCCCTATATATATATATATATATATATATATATATATATATATATATATATATATATATATATATATATATATATGCGCGTAGTAATTGGTAATTTGACTTGGTGCACAAACCAAAAATATAAATTAATGGTTTGCACATCTGTGCTTTCGATTGTTTTTAAAAAAAGGATTTTTTAAAAATTGCACTGTCTTTTAACCGATTCCTCTCAGTACGAATACAAATACGTGTATGTATGTATGTATATGTGTGTGTGTACGTATCATATGAAATTTTCTGCTGACTTCGTGAAAATGTTCGTCTCTTCACTGTTTGCTCTCGAAAATCTTTATTCTGTTCTTTTTTGCTTCAAAAAATAATCAGTCTTCAACTATTTCATGAATTGCCTGTATTTATACTGATAATTTATGTGATCGTATTTGTACGTTTGTTTTACGCCTTTGTCTTCACCTTATCATCTCAATATATCTTGCTAGTTTTTTTTTCTTGAAATGTATAATTTAATCACTTTGGTTATTTGTATTCATCATCACCGTCAGCACATAATATTAACAATAATAATTGTTATTACTATTTTATCATCCTCATTTATGATTATTACGACGATATGTACAAAGGCAAACTATGTCTGGTTTATAGGTCAACGTGTGTCTTCAAATAATCGGATATAATAAATATAGCTGTAGTCATAAACGAGTAATTTTTTCCACTTTTTTCTCTCATTGTTTCTGATCTATTTTCTCCTTCATCCTCATCCATCTTCTAATTGACAACGTCGATATCATTGGTGATTGTCGCCACCCTGTTCCTGAAAACCCTCAGCTGATATTTTCTCATTGTTCTGTTTTCTTTATGTTACTGAATTTGTACAGATTCATATTCCCCTTTTCTTCTGGGAAGAAGTAATAATGTGTTTTTACCATTTTAGAAAGTTTTTGGTTTGTGGAAAAGGGTCTTGATAAATTCGCTAACGAAATTTCAATAATGCAATGTGTTGCGATCGTTTACCAATTATGTAGTTAATTACTGTCGTCTTAAATCGTTCTTGACAAACCATACACCTGTGTATATATACATAGATTATTAGTTATTTAGAAAAATTATACTTTATACTTTATATTTGATAAGAATTAGTCGGTGTAGTTCAGTAAGGGGATCTATATTGACTACACTCACATAACTTTGGTGTTTTAACTATTAACCTGTCGAGTATTTAGATCTACTTCATAGACATTTTCATTATTTATATCAGTTATTATTTGGAAGTTCGCCTCGTTTATTCGTTTTTAGACCTAACTTTTTATTCATATTGACCGATTTTATATTTATTTATTTGAACACAAATATTGGTACAAACGGGTACCGAACACATATGCGCCACACAAGTCACTTGATTTGTGTGTGGGCTATGATACTGCCCGGGGCAACACCCCGAGCCTTCGACCTAAAGGTTTGATCCACAAGGCAGTGGAGCAACGTTAGGAGATGCAGTCCCATGGTAGCCATTTGTTCCCTCAGGATACTGGAGCCCATGTGCACCATTGGTTTGGATTCAAGGTTTTCCAACTCCCCTAGGTGGACTCTCCATAACCATCAACCCGGTTAAAACACCGGACATTTGCCTTTCATCTTTTCAATTTCTTAAACAACATCCCCGCCACGAGAAGGCAGTGAGTAGGACTTCCCTAGCAATCTCTGTATACGCGTGGCCATGTAATAGCATTTCGAAAGGGATAGTTGACACTCCCCACCCTCGACCGTACCAGGGCATTTGGGAGCTTAGACTGACTGAACATCAACATATCTTTCATATTATTGTGTATGGAAAAACTTTCATACTATGTTATATACACATTCATAATTGGACAGAAACAACAAACCTCTTGACGTAATCTGATACTTGAATTTCTCACTTTCGTACCAAAAGCGCCTACTTTTATCTTCGGTTTGTATTTCCCACTTAAAGGGATCCTAAATGTCATTGGTTCGTTTCTTCTTTTATGACGTTTTCCAAGGGAATTTTTGTACTCTATATATACATATGGGTTGTGTGCTTGTCCGTTTGTGCTTCCGACTGTATGGAATATACTTTTCCCTCGTCTGAATCTGGTCTTCTCCCCCTAGTTGGCAAGGCTGCGGCGCAGTGAATAATTTAGCTTGTTCCGCTCTTTTGTTGCTAGCTTTCGTTCTGTACGTCGGTCTTAGGTAATGCCGTAGTTTCTTCAAACGTAGCAATATGGTTCATTTCAATAATTACTTTGAAACTGTTGGTTCAAATTGTTATAGCTATTAAATAACATAGAGAGAAAACATCAGTTGTTAAGTACACGTATCTTCTAGTGAAATTATTTTGATACATAACTAATGAATCTACTTTAAATGGTATCTATTTATAAGACTTTTTTCGTTATTGTTACTATCCTCTGTTAATCATTGGTACTTAACATGTTTACTAATGTCAACTAAACTACACGACAAATAACTCATTTTCTTTCTGTACACAAAGTCAACGATTAAACATGATTAGGCAAGTGTTAAATATCGATTTGTTTTAGACCTTTATCTTCGATATTTTTGGTTATTTCTATGTAGAAGCGCTGTGATAATCTCAACAATAATATCTATATATACTAGACGCCTTATTTCTGTCAAACTGTTTGTTTAGATTTTAAAGAATTTTCATCATATGTATTATTTTACGATTGTGCTAATCAGACTAACTTTTTTTTTAAAAAAAACTCATTTTAGCTGTACGATTCTATGCTTGGTGGTATCAAAGATCCAAACAGTTCAGCTGTCAGTGAAAACGATATTTGTTCTCGGTTATCATCCACTCATACAACTCCATCATCAAATTTATTAACTGGTGGAAATTACAATTGTCCACCGATAACTACACCTTTGTCATCATCGTCATCAATATCATTACCTTCAAGGAATAGATCAAACATAGAATCGATCATTCGAACTGATCATATACATGACAATCGTGATCCTTGTATTTACACAAATTTAAATGTTGTTCCTGTTGGTGGAAATAATACATCATGTATGTCAGCTTTATGCAGTAGTGGTGCTGGGAATGATGATATTGATTCACATCGTATAGTTAAATCAAGTGTTATCCCGACTGGTATTGATGAACCCAGTAAGCGTGAAATAAAATCTCTTCATTTCCAATCAAATAATCCATTGATTGTATCTTCGGGAATTTTTGATTCTTATTATGGAATTGGTAGGTGGCCGGTTTTTTTAAAAATAAATAAAATTTTAAGTGATTATTTATTCATTATAAATTTCAATATGGCGTTTATTTTAATCAAAAAATGTTACTGTGTGTTGTTGTATGACTTATTATCTATTTTTCCGCAGTTCAGTCACATATCGCTGTGTTCTATTTGTGTTATTCATAGAGTTCTCTGCTTATTATGTGTGATTGTTTAATTGTTGTTCAGTAAAAATTCCACTGGTTGGTTTTTAGGGAAGAAACGAGTATAGTTTGCGTAGAGTTTTCCATTATCTCATTTTTCTAGAGATCGATCTGTTTTAACCTAGCTGTTCTTGTTGAATTCAAGAATTGATTGAAATTGGACATCAACACAAATAGATACCAGCTCAGTGATTGCGCGTGAGATTTAGGGTCCTAGGTTAGGTCTCCATTAGGATCGTGGATACACATTGTTGAGTATCTTCATATTAGCATTAAATAAGCTACCCAGTGTTTTCTGGTTACCTAACTAGGGTCAGTTTGTGAGCGTTTACTCCAGAATTCAACAACATCCACAAACCCTTTTTTACTAATAATTAATATAATTTGTTTAGCAACTTCAAGTTTATATATTCAGCTTTAAGAGAAATGCCTTGTTTAGCGACTGCTGACCAATAATATATACCTTTATTGACCCAAATAAGTATATTAAGTTCAATTCTATAATTTAATGAATAAATCGAATACTTTAATCAAATTAATTACTAATAAATATCTTAATCATTAGTCTTAACCAATAATACTGCTAATATTGTGTAAATCTTCTGCCTGCCACTCTTACTTTGGTAACATGAGACAAATCCATGAAGTCACTGACAAATGGATTGAGCCATGCTGGTAGGTGTAGACGACTACCTGGTTGGCGTCCGCGAGATGATAGCAACCGATGGTGAAATACCTTGAATGACATGGCTCAAAATCGTTTGTAATGGCGCAGGTGCATCCACTCTTTGTGTTCTCTCAAATTATAATCTTCTGGATTCTCCTTGTCTTTCTTTCTCTTTCCAAATTTATTTCACTTGATTATACTCCTTGAATAACATCTTCGAACTGTAATCGTTCCGATTACTGCTTATATTCTTACTACCTCTACCGCTACGGGATTTGAATCGATAATTGTATCTGTGTGCTAATGTGGTAAGGCAACTCGAACTGATGTACGTACCTACGAACGACCTACGTTGTTACTGACTGGATTTGTAGTTGAGGTTGAGTGACTACTCAAAATAGATCAAATACATTCACTCTTTAAATTTATTTAAATCTTAAGTTCCAGTATTTCTTCATGTAAACCCATTTAATTCCATCATCTCATATTATGTTTTCAATGTTTAGTCTTTTTCATTACTATTAGCTATTGCATTATTTCAACTCCTTTATTATTTATCATCATTAGCTATATCATCTTGTGAATATACACTTATAGTCTCTATATGTTGATTTATGACTGACTTATCTGTTCATGTATACGTATTATTTATTATTTATTTATTTTTACACATAGATGTTGATGCATTAGGGCACCAAATACATATGCGCCACACAGATCTCATTTGATATGTGTGAGGGCTGTGATACTGCTCGGGTGCCCAAACCGAAACAGGTAGTTTTCTTAGAGGGCCACACTACGAGCCTCCGACTTGAACGTCTGACCCACAAGGCAGTGGAGCATCGTAAGGAGATGCACTCCCATGGTAGCCGGTGACCAACGATTGGTTTATACGCCATTTGTTCCTTCAGGATACTGGAGCCCATGTGCACCATTGATTTGGGATCCGGTTAAATCGCCGGACATTCGCTTTTCGTCCTCTCATTTTCGTAAACAACACCCCCGCCACGTGAAGGCAGTGAGTAGGATTTCCCTGGCAGAGGCTATATACGCGTGGCCATGTAAGAGCATTTCGAGAGGGAGAGCGGACTCTCCCTACTCTCAGCCGTACCAGGGCATTTGGGGGCCATGTGTTCGTATTAATCAGTTAGTTGTTTTACACTTCAGATATTTGTTTTTTTTTTCTTTCTATCGGCTTTGATTATTTCTATTGTAAAAAAATTAATATTAAAAGGAAATCCGATTAATTTTTCTAAGATAATTTAAATAAATTAGATTAAACATAAAAACGTAAGTAATAGTATGCAATTTGTAAATAGTATAATATTTTTCTGATCATAATTTTTTTGTTATTATTATTATTTTCTTTTTTGTAGTAAAATAGCGGAAAAGTTTTATATAATTACTTTTACAGCTTTAGGTGTTATCTATGTATACACATATAAAGGGAAAAGTTAGTAAATAGAAATTAGAAAAATTCTGTTATTTACATTTTTTTTGTTTTTTAATCACAACAATGTTTGATCAGTGCCTAAAATAAATTCTTTTTTTTCTTCAATTTTATTGTATATCTGTTCATATTATTGATATCTTATAGGAAGAATTGAATAAACTATGTATTATCACTATTGTTATTATTATGATTATAATTATGATTAGTATTAATATTACTATTGTGTATTTTGTATTTCTCTTTACCCGCTTCCCTATTTTGCATTTTGTAAATTTCTGTATTCTATGATAGTTGTTTACATCAGAGTGTGTGTTTACTTATCCTTCGGTTCTTTTGCTTGTTTTCCTTGCCACCCTCTCTCGCTCGCTTTCTTCTGTCTAACTTTTAGAGAATAGTTTTTCTGTAGGCAACACATCTGTGCTCCAATGTTGTTGCATGTGTTTTTTATTATTATTAGTGATTTTGTTATGTCCCCAGAGGTCGCAAACGTGATTTTTTTTCGTGATGCTGCTTACACGTATTTGTTCTCGGTTGTTGTTGTTGTTGAAAAAAAAACACATAACAAGAATTAGCTGATTCACAAGACAATTTGACTGTGTATGCAAAGCCCTAAGGCAGTGTGATATTAGTTTATTTGCTTATATTCCTAAAAATTTTATTCTTAGCCAGCCCATTTATGCTTCGATTTGTTTTGTACTGAGTAATTGAAAATAATCTGCTTGTTTTCTGTTGACCTTAATTCTAGCTTTTGCTTAAAGTAAAATTTCTTACGCAAAATTAATGTAATGCTGTTTATTTGAGAATTGGTTGATGCAATTACTTTGTAGATGAATTCTCCTACTACTACTGTTGGGAGTAGTAGTAGTGTTAGTAAAAGTTAATGAATAAAACGTATCTTTGTGTGCAGTTGGTGCATATCTTGCTTCTTGGTGATCCGTGCTAGTTTTTCATTTAGTTGACTTCTCACAGCTTAAATTTTTTGTCATTTCTTTTTATCTGTGTAGATTCTGTGTGTGATGGAAATACAATTCCAAGCGGTTGGTCAAATACAACTAATGTCATTAATCCAGGTTGCGTAGTGGCAGGTTCTGTTCATACATCAAATTTTCCTTCACATATTTCCAATGATAATAATAATAGTGCCTGTCAGTTGACGTCTGAATTGACTTCTGTTCCCACCTATCCTAATTCTAATCCCTCTATCCATCCTGAATCTACTCATCCGACACATGTAAATATGGTAAATTTATCCTGTTTTTTAGAGGGTGGTATTGAGTTATTAGTATGTTATGTTTGAAAAAGAAAACACTTTAATTTGCATTGAATATTATTTACTCAGGTGATCAATTTTGACTGGTCTGCTGTTACTATTTATGTTTGTATAAAATTCTCATTTTTTGGTGTCTAGCTATCAATTTAAGACATGTTTCGTTATGTTTTTGTTATTCATTGTTCATATGGACTCCTTACATGTTATTTTGTAGGATAATTGGTATCAATCCAATGAATCATTATCAATTATTAAAACTCTGTTGTTTTATTGTTTAAACTTTAGTAGTCATCTAATTGTAACTTGTAACGCTTTCTTCGAAATAGTGTTTCCAGCATTAAATGTTTGTTAAATAGGGAATATCAATGTTCAATATTTTTATTTAATACTTTAAAAAAAACTCATGTCGAATGCTCTGTTAAATAATTCATAAGACAATATTATTTATTGAATTATAAACAGATCAAATTCATAATAAATTGTCATGATAATGACGGAAATTTATCCTACGACACTTTATTAAATTAACTCATTGTTAGGCTTCGTGGGCCACATTGGTACAGTTTTTTTTTTTTTTCAAAATGATGACGACTGATCGGCTTATTTAGCGATTTTCATTTCAAAACCGGTCAAAATGTGAAGAATCTATGCAACAGAAAGATATACCTAATGACAGAGCAGTCAATTTCTTTGAGATACGTCTTAGATTCGGGCACTCATTGAGTGATGACTTAATAAGTAAAGCTCTCAATACTTAACTTCATGGCCTTAGGTTTGAACTCAAAAACTCTTAAATCAATTTTGAAAGTTGGATGAATATAACTATCATTCAAAATGTATTATATGTTATAGTTTGATAAATGACATAGTTTTGTGATTGTGAAGATTAGTGAAATTGTACTCTGATCGAACATGTCAGCTCAATTAATACGTTGCAGCCAAGTGATAACAGCTCACGAGATCTGAATATCTACTCATTCCCATAAATGTACTAATTTCAACCGCACGAACAGTAACCAGAAGAATAGGTTTGTTTTTAAGCAGTACAATTACGTGTTTATATACAAAATGTTTAACATAAAAATATGGTATGATTTTTAAGTTGATTGGAAGATATATCAGTTTTGTCGCACATTCACTCGTCAACAATTTAGAACCTAACTATTATGCCTAATTTTTGCTTCGCTTATCATATTACTATTGAAGGCATCAACCTATGCTTGGCTCCTCACCTCTCTGTCTAATTGATATTTTTTTAAAATTTAAGCTTGATCCGATTAGTCTATAACTTAATTGGGAAACATTGTTGATATTTTTGAGAAAATATTATGTCATTTGATTTTGTTACAGGGACTGAATTATTCTGGGGCCAGTGGGGTTGGTGGTAATCTGTATGCACCGGCTACGTTACAACCTTGTCCATTGGTTGGACTATCTGATTCTTCCATTCAACACCCATGCAATATACCTCAACCTGGTAAGTTGACTGTCAATAAATAACACATGATTTGTGTGTGCTTATGCATTAATTGGAGTAAATTTCCATGCTATAATTTGCTTAGAAATGTAAGTAATGTTAAGTTTCTATTATAGGGATGTAGGTAGGCTAAAATAATGGCTAGATATGATGCTATGACTATTGTTAAGATTCTCATGGCTTTTTTAGTCAAAACATTCTGTATAAATGGAAAATATCTTTTTGAAAATTAATTAGACTTAAATCAGTGCATTTTTTTTTAACTTAGTTTAAGGATTTTTCAATGTGTATGTGATAAGGTTCCAATCTTATTATTAGAAAAACTTATCTGGGTACAAAAAATGTCTCATATATATATATATATATATATATATATATATATATATATATATATATAAACACATAAACATTGGTACAACGAAGCACCAAATATATATGCGCCACACTGTAGTGGCTTGGCTTCGTTTACCAATCACCCCTGATAACCGTTATTAAGTATATCCCAACTGTGTATGAATTCAGAAGGGAACAAGAAGCGGCAACTACAGTTTATTATTTGATAGCACAGTTAACAAAATTTCAAACACTTCGGGGCGAATTGGAGAAGAGACGCTAATATGTGTAAGCGAGCGAATGCAGCTGCAAAATTATAGTGAATTCGAATCCAGGCGAAGCGAAGGCAATTAATAAGATTCAAGCATATATGTTTATAAAGACATGATAGTGACCGTAATAATACAAAGAAATAGACGAATTGTTACTGTCTGTTATTTAAGCTAATTGAAGGACTACACTGGTCCCATGTGCGTGATCGTGGGTTCACACTGCTGAAGAGGAGTCCCATACCAGGACGAAACGGTCATCCAGCGCTTCCAGGTTTTTAATGGTGGTCTAGCTTAGATTGACATGCGATTTAAACTGTGAAAGTACTGCAATCCCCACAAATTTCCATACTGATAATATTTTAGTTTCATATTTTTACTTAAACCAATCATAAATATTACTCCACCATTAGCATTAATTGATTCAAATAATCTTGTTCATTTAGTATTAAATCCTAGTTGCTGTGATGATATAGCTGCAAAATTCTATACAAAAACTTGATTAAATCTCATTTCTATCTTACATCTGAGTTTATAACATTTTACATATAAGATTGTAAACTGGTAAATGGACAGTTAATAAACAGATCTTTACTTAGACCTCTTCATTTCGGTTATTCCTCATCCAATTTAATGCTGATTTAGCAGAAAGTGAACTTATATCTCCATTTGTGTCACAACTAGAAACACTACTATGGGATTTTTCAGACTGCGCTTTGTAAAATAGCTGTAGAGCTGATGTGTTTACTATGATAGATCGTTGAGTAGTAGTAGTAAACAATCCTGTATTACTGTCCACTGTTCTGTTATAATCGAATTTATCAGTCAAACCTTATTGTGATTTCACTCTTATGTAATGTACATACGAGGGATTCCACAAACTTTTTATTTTAGCTTACAGTGGTAAAACCATAGATTAATCATATCAAACGACCTTATTTGTGTACATGTTTTGTTTTGTTCCTTTACTCTTACATTTCCAGAATTCGTCGTGAAAATAGTACTATGTCTCTTTTTTGCTATAACTTTTATGTAAGGGAATTTATTGTCTCTGAATTGAGGTACAATTTAATGAGTCATCCATCGTCTATAAAATAGCACTTGTCATTAAATGTAATTCAGATGTAGATCAGTATCTTACATACTGAGAAGTGTTATTTCCCCTCCTCACTCTATGTTAGTAATTTAAGTGTATTTTGAACATAATTTTTTATTCTATCTAATTAGTGATCGGGCTGTTTGACTGACTATGTTTTATGTGAAACATATAAGCATAGTTGTCGTAGTAATAGTTAGTATATAGTTAAAAATTCATTTTTTCTCTCATTTCATTTCATTTTATCTTCAAACTAGTTTTATGTAAGAAATTTTCGCATACTGTAGTTTTCTATTTAAAAAAGATTGAAGTTTAGTCGTGTCTAGTAAAACCTTTTGATGGTTTGAAATCAATTTTTTGTCCAAATTACACTTTGGTTTATAAAATGACTATTCATTTTGACCATGTACTTAACTTGCTTAGACTGTCAAATATACAAAGCGATAATAGATTCAGACCTTATCATTCTAGCTTGAGCAGAAGGATAGTATTACACATTGTTACTCTGAAAAACTTAAAGCGGAGTACACAAATCCATATTTAGTTCTAAGTTTTTACTGTGATGATTGAAAACGTGTTTGGTAAAAACTTTGTTCGTTCTGTTTTTTTCCTAATACTGAAAATTGAGGGAAACTGATTATGAATAAAGTGGTCTTCAGTGTTTTTATAGGTATGAGGGCGGTTATCACTTCCTGGTTATACACACTGTGGAAGGGTTCCTCTAGTGGTACCTGAAAATGAAAGTGGTTTAGAGGTGGTCTGAGTGTGTGACCGCAGTGCTCAAAGGACAGCTGCTTGAGGCCAGTCACACTCGATCATTTTGTGAGTAATTTCAATGTTAGCTCCGTACTTGTTGAGACCTTACCGCCGGAGACGGAAATCCATGGGATAAGGCGAGGTGTGCATTTTTAGGGTCGACCATTTCTAACCCCGCTTCTCCTTATGAAAAGGCAGCATCGCTATTATGCTGGTTGTCTGAAGGAAGCACCTAACTGCCGTCAAACATCTGTACAGTTGGCAGTACGACTTCACCCTCAAACCTTTGCTGCTTTTAGTTTTACCACTCTTCAACCGACCTGCCTGGCATGGTAGAACCTTGAGGAACGATCGTTCCAGCCAGTATGGCTCGATTGGATTATCACGATAGGCAAGTCCGACCACCACGTCAAGATGGCAACAACGGTCGGGAACCGTGATATTAAAGTCACTTCAAACCTTTCTTTCTGTGAACTAGTTATTTTTCCCTGTATCATGTCCCTATATACCATGTTGTCTTTATATATTACTACCATTTAAGTAACTGCTTCGATTTATTTGGTGTTGATCTTGTTATGCTAAAAAGATACGGTAACTTGGACCGATGTATATATGTGTTTGGTCCTATGTTGTATATGATTGACTGACTTTTCCCAACACTAGATAGGTTTTCGACTTATTCCATACAATTTCGACTGTCCGGTTAGGTGTCTAGTACCCATTAGTTTATCAGTTTGTTTGTTATCATAGCTAGTCATAATCTATCTGTCCTATAATTTTATTTAGACTATTGGTTTTCTTTATGGTCACTAATTATTTGTTGCCAGAGTACTCTAATGCTATTCACAACAGACAGACTGAATTGTTTAGGCATCATAACTCATTAATAATCAAAACCTTAATAATGACGATTTTTTTTGTTATTGCATTAAAATAGTTCATCCTTTAGATCCTAATCCTTCATATTCTTCCATTGGGGAATATACAATGCATCGTCAATCTTCTGATATAACCCCACCATCTGGTCTGATACCTTCAGTTGTCTATGAACAACACTCACTTGCAAATCTCAATACACATGTATGTGTTATCGTTGTTATTAACATACATACTTTTTATTGTTAACCTTTCATTATGCATTGTTAATCATTTTTGTTTGGGCTTACCCGCTTGTGTGTATGTGTGTAAGTATATTTTGATGAATTAATTGCCTATAGATCTTACTCATTACAAATATGATCTCTAATGGGTCATGTTTTGGATCATACTTATTGTTATTATTATCATCTTGATAAGATCATCTTGACAACACAATAAATGCAAATGAGCAAGGAAAATTCGCATAATTCAATTTTGCTGATTCATTGATGTGTCTATTGTTATTCTGTTTTTTCTCTTTTTTCCTACAACTTCGTTATTTGATTTTTTCCTCGTATCTTTATTAATTAGTAGTGCATCGTTTCATTTCTTTATAGCTGTAAGCATGTAATTTACATGTGGATTTTGATATTATGTTATCAAGAGTTTTCATCTTATAAAAAAATTCCTCTAGTACTTTTTTAAAGTACATTATTGTTAGGATAGAAAAGGATTATAGAGATTTCTCAGTTTACATTCTACATCACATAATGATTTCAGCTAAACATAACTGTTAGAAATAAGAGGGGATTCAACAATTATTTTGTTTCAGTGTTAGACTTTTCAAGAGTGGGAATCCAAGACCCCGCCAAGGAGTGAGCATGTTGTTCTTCGTTTTAATAGAAAGCGCTGAGCTGTTACCCAATTATATGAACAACCATTATTCATTAACATGAGTGAGACCTGTCTCATATACAGTACATCGCCTGCACACGTAGCCTATAAGTTGAATCATAATTGATTCAGCTGGAGTTATCTGATTTATATCTTTAGTTCTTTTTCTAGAGTGTCAAGGGTTAATAATTAGAAGAAATATGTAAAGAGTATTATCTTAACTTACGCTATGTTTTTTATGCATATACATAAAATGTAATACTTATTCTCTGGTCAACATTTAGTTTGAGGAAATCTAAGTTTATACTACTTATCTAATGATTAGTGAACTATTCTTTTGTTGATCAACTTCAGAAAATATATTCTCACCTTTTACCATTAGACCATTCAATTAATCTAATAATTCTAAAAATGATGTTAACGTTTTAATAAACATAAACCATTCAGTAAATAGTACGTATTGTGATAATATTGGAAATATATAAATAGATTCTGTGAAGTGTTTTTATTATTCGTTTTGTAATTTGCCTGCTAAATGTTTGACTTAATTTGTTCTTCTTTAATTTCACTCATTTCAGAGTACAACTTCAAATAATAATAATAGTAGTACTACTACTACTAATAATAACAATTATCAAAGTGATATGATGAGTTGTAGTCGTGAGGCACTGATAGCATTAGCAGGTATGTTTTACTTTGTATTTTAATGTATTTTTAAATTATCTCGTTATCTTTCTTGTTTAAATCCACATATTTGATATATTCTCTAGAAATTCTTCTATTTGCATCCCAGATTATTATTCTCCATTTCATGATCAACTTCATATTTTAATCTGATATCATATATTCCATTTTAGTTTAATAAGAGTTAAGAGTTAATTATTAGTTGAATAAAAAAGCAGTGCAAACTATGATAGTTAATGTTAAGTTAAAGTCAACTAATATTTTGAGATTAGTAAGTCCGTTACCATACGAATTATTCATTTTATTTCATGAACTCTCATCGACTGTTTATGACTTTTTTCGTATAGAAATACAGTAATAATGATAATAATACTTCACCTTGAGATAGTGGTATGATTTGTAGCTTAGGAAGATGATTTGAATGAATTAACATTCTATGAGATAGGTGCTTCGCTTGTGATGTGTTCATGATCTTGCTAGACTACATCATCAGGACGAACATAAAAAAATGTGAACTATGAAAACTTTTTTGTCATTAAATTTTTTGATTTGCATAAAATTGACTGAAATGATTTTACTATTTTTTAAAACCACACCTGATCCTAGAAATTAATTGATTTTACCTTACGTAGTGAAATTCGTACAAACCGAAATTGACGTTCTTATCTTTTGCACATTTCATTATTTTTTCAGTATACAAGTTGTATTGATCTCAAAAAGTATGTTGATATTTTTTTATTATAGGATCTGGTGCAGATGAAATTAATTTCACAACTCGTTCATCCAATATAAGTTTAACACATTCCTCTACACCAACCTTATCTGCTAGCAATTCTACATCTCATGGCGGTGGTCGTGGAACAAGAGGTGGTCGTGTTGCTGGACACAAGCGTCGATCATCATCTGTTAATCCTTCCAATTCTCTTAATTTAGAATCAAATGGAAATTCCATCGAAGCTAACACTAACGATATGACTTTGGGGCTGTCAAATGCTTGCCCATTATCCTCTAATACTGGTATGAGCTCAGAATGCTCATCTCTTTTCGGTGATTTTGACAGCAGTAGAAATTTCGGACATGGTCGTACGCCAAGTGTATGTGGTACTGACTCTGAAGAAACTATTGACCCAGATGAAACACCTGAGCAAAGAGCTGAAAGAGAACGTAGTCGTAGGCAGGCGAATAATGCACGAGAGCGGTAAGCATGCTATTTGTAGTTAAATATGTCAACGATACTGTTCATTGATTTTTTTGATTCAGACAAACTGCAAATTTAATTATCAATAGTCATAACTTAGTAGGTAACTGGACAGGTGTGCACCGTACCTAATTACTGCGCTTTATATCACCATACTAAATGCTTATAAACAAAATAAAATTTAACAAAATAGCAATAACTGTATCTGTGATCGTAAAGTAGACTAGACTTTGGAAGCATAATTAAAATATTGAATGTCAGACAGTATCAGAATTCGATGTTTACTGGCAGACAGCAGATAGATAGATTATTATTATTATTATTGTTATTATTATTATTATATTTTTGATACAATATAGAATTCTCAGCACAAAGTATTTCGACAAGTTTCATTTTCTTACTTTTTGATCGGCAGTTAGATGTTAGCAGATCAGGAATGGACATCTGAATTATGTTCATTCTTTTCAATACATATTGCCAGCCTCCACAATGTTGCCGATTGTACTTTTGTGTAACTTGTAGAACGAAAGGTCGTAAACTTTTCATAAACGCGCCTGAATAGGTTATGAGAATAATGAACATAATGATGTCTTAAAACAAAAAACAGACAACTTGTTGAAATATCTAGGTGAAAGGAGCAGGTAGCCCAGTTACTCAGGCAGGTCGCCTTGATTATAGGGGTGATGATTAGTTTGTAAATACCAGTTAAAAACTCAACATACCCTAGTACCACTCACAGTAGCAATCACCAACTTTGTGAACTGATCACCCCTAACTTTCTTCTTAACTCCTTCTAGCAGTATAGGTTAAAAAATGTGTTATGCGCGGATGAGGAAATTTCACAACCTTCATAGACTGACTGGTCATTTCTTATAACTGATCGCTTAGTGGTTCCATCATACTTGAACATTTTTTAGATAACATCCGTGATTAAATACTGAGAACATACATACGTTTTAACTTTCAGACATAGTATTTTCAATCATAAATTAATATAAAAGAGATTTGCTACTAGGAGATATCACTCTTGGTTAATATGTATATTATTAGATTATTTAATAATAGTGAGGTGTCAGTATTCTTCATGTCTTGATTCTTTCGAATATTTTTTTCTTTGGAATGAAAACGTGTTCTTAATAAATATTACAAGAAATCGCTTTGCTTACTTCAATTTTGTGTTATGAATTCCAGAGTTGTTCTTTTCGAACAATTTAATTTTTCGGTGTTAGAATTGTATAAAGTACACTTTTTTGGGAAGGGGTGATGCTTTTTTGCATATACTTTGTTTTGAATCAACTCCATGCAATCGCTTTTGTTTGCTACTGAAGTGTTTATTCATTCGGAACTGTTTAACGAGGATTCGATGGGAAACCCCTAGACGTAGCTTCCGTGCTACGTAGTAATGTTGGTGGAACTGATACTGCCTGGCGGATTTAATCCTGTGTCACTCGGCTACACAGTTAGAGAAGTTACTATTGAGCTATTCGGGCAGCTACTGACCTTTGAAACTGAGCTGTACCTATAGTTGATTAAATACTAAGTAGTGACCACTATCATGTATGTCAAGTCCTGACAATGAAGTTTGGTGGTATTGGATTTAATCCAACATGGAGCATCAAGTCCCTCAAGACTATATGTACTCCTTACTGATCGGTGTCAAATAGCACGAAACCGCGGTCAATTACTGTTTCCTATCGATTGCTTCCAACCATAACCTTACATCTCAAGTTAGTGCACTCAATATCAAGTCACTTAAACTAGTGACCACATAAATTGATTGGTAGAATTCAATCAACTCTAAAGAGGACTTGGAACCCATGACATTAATCACTAGTTGGTGATCAATCGATTGTAAAATTACGTGAAATACTATTTTTTCTGTCAGGTAAGGTGATGATGCGTTTTACAGTAAAGACAAATCTCACTTACTGTGATCGTATTTGGAAGTATCTAGTTTTTTAAATTAATTAAATCAAATCATTTCGTTAACTAGATTATAGTGTTTTACGTATTTCACATTATGTTTACTTATCCATTATATCCGTAAATTGTACAACAACAAAAAAAAAGATTACGAGTTCGTGAAATCAATGATGCTTTTAAAGAATTGGGTCAAATGATTAATTTGCACACGGGAAATGGTCAACCTCTGACAAAACTCATGATTCTTCAGCAAGCTGTAACAGTTATCACAGGTTTGGAACAACAAGTCAGAGGTTAGAAGAAAAAACAACATATAGATATTTTTTAAAATCGTTTTTAAGTTTTGCTTGATGTTAGCATGTTGTCATAATCCTTAGTATTATGCATGTTTATATCTTTCCTTTTCTTTCATCTTAATCTCCTGGAACGTGGTAATATTATCTGTTACATCATACTATCCATTACATATGTCAATCTGGTTAATCGCATTCCTGTGTGTTACACTTTATGTTTGGTATGCTCTTTGTCTATCAAAGTATTCGAGTTCGTGACATCAATGATGCATTCAAAGAGCTTGGACGCATGTGCATGATGCATTTAAATAATGAACGACCACAAACCAAACTTACAATTTTACAACAAGCTGTTTCATTAATCACCAGTTTGGAACAACAAGTTCGTGGTAAGTAGTTTGTGTACTTCATGTGATTACAATTCTGTCGTAAGATTTTATTGGGAAATTTATTAGTGTTTATTTTCTCTGTTTTATTATTTACTTTGTGTAAGTCTAATAAATAAATACTAGAAGTCAATTTTTTTAAATTTTCACCATTGATAATAAAAGGATGATTGCGTATTCATTACTTAAACACGTTTTTTATGTGTATAGTCACTCTGTTACTATTGAAGTCCGGTTAAAAAAAAAGAAAACACTTTCTGATTCTAAATATAATGCTTTCGATTCATATATGAATATTCTGTTTTGTGCTTTTTCCATAATCTCTTTGATTTTTTCTGGTTTACTCTGTTTATCAATACTTTATGCTTTGGAAATAACATATTGACCACTTAGGGAGGTGTGTATGTATGAACATACGGCTACTTGGATTTTATTCTGCTTTTTTGGTCAGTGGTTTTGAGACGCTAAGTGATATGGTGAGTCGAAATCGGACACAATGGCCTAGATGAGTTTTCTGTTTATCTTTTTCTAGATCTTGAGTTCCAACATTTCTTCATACATATTCTCTGTGTAGGGATTCTTTCTAATTTTAATTGGTGTTATATTATTTTGATTACTTTCCTATTCATCTTGATAATTTCATTTAACTGTGCAGATTTGGTATGAGAATTTTATCTAATGCATATTAGTGTTATCCTCGTTATTGATGGTTGACTGACTGATAAAAAAGGAATTCAGATTAAATAAATCATATTGGTGAAAGCTACCCAAATAACTCTGTTATATTGAAGTGTATTCTAATTGAGCTATCTTCGTCAATGTGTCAGCGTTTAGCAACATTTATTTCATTTGTTGATTTAGGTTTTTTTCCATTCTTTTAGAAATAACTTTTTTCTTTATTTTACTTCTCAGTGGATTGATTTACTACATAAAAATTCTGTCATCAATCTTTGGTGTATAAACATTACATTTTTCTTAAGTGACAATACATCTTTCTTATTATTTTAAGTAATAATCCTTGTTATGATGGATAATAGGATAATAGTTATAAACTACTCGAATTTTGAACATACAGATCATACATTCAGATCTCATTTCATCCACTTAATTGTTTTGGCAGCCAAATTAGTATCACTAGCCCGTCATATCGATAAACCTCGAGAGAGAGAGAGAGAGAGAGAGTTGTTAGATGTCTTATGGCTTGTTTTGTGTTTTAGGCATTCGATTATGAGGTGATAAATGTTCATTTTGAAATTGTTTTTCTATGAATTATAACTTTCATGGTGTCTTTATGCATCAGATAGAAACAGTCAGGACGCGTTTACATATAAAAAAAGATTGTATTGGCAAAGATGATAGATTGAAAATGTCACCTGTTGGATGAATCAATCATCTACTTGTTTAAATATCCACATAATAGAACGCTGATATGTGAACGAAGAATTTTTTAAAAAATAAATTGTCTTCAGACTCTACATTTATATATCCGAATTAATAATCCAAAAATGACCAGGTTTACAGCAAATACATCGGTTCAATTTATAGCATATTAATGTAGAACTGTTTGTAAAATCAGCGAATGTCTGGCGCTTTAACCGGACCCCAAACCAATGGTGCACATGGGCTCCAGTATCCTGCGGGAACAAATGGCGTATGAACCAATCGTTGGTCACCGGCTACCATGGGACTGCATCTCCTTACGATGCTCCACTGCCTTGTGGGTCAGACGTTCAGGTCAAAGGCTCGGGGTGTGGTCCCCTAAGAAAACCACCTGCTTCGGTTTGGGCACCCGAGCAGTATCACAGCCCTCACACAAATCAATTGAGATTTGTGTGGCGCATATGTATTTGGTGCCTCCCTGTACCTATACTTATGTGTTAAAATAAATAAATAAATAAATAAAAATCAGAAGAAATTGTTAATATTGAAATGACGAATATGTTATGCTAACTCGAATAAGTTTATCCATGCAATGGTATTGTGAAATTAATAATCAGAATAAATATTGGTCAAATAGAGTGAGAAAGAAACACTAATGAGCTTTAAGGGGAAATTTCCGAAGTTCCAGTAAGAAGCCTTGGCCAGTGGAGCTAAACTTTGTCGGATGTTAGGCAGTTATCCACCAAAGGCATTGGATCTCCGGCTCAGTGGTTTAGAGGTTAAATGTTCGCGCACTTGGATTCGATTCACAGTCGCGCATTTATGTATGTGAACTGGTGAGGAGTCCCATAATATAACAAAACAGCTGTTCAATGCTTCCAAGTTTCCAATGGTGGTCAGACCTAAATAGGTTCATGATATCAATAAAATTCGACAATCTCTACAACCTCATAATTGGCTAATACTTATGCAATTACAATTCAGATCAAATATTTGGTGTAATGCATAATGTCTGAGTAAGACTGTAACTTATAGACAACCTTTAAGCAACGCCAAGGTGACCTTGAAAATATTCACATACTAACCAGGACTAAATGAAGGTTATAACGAAGTATGATGAATTAGAATGATGATTTACGGGTCATAGTTAGGATTAGGAACTAGATTTAGTGGTTTCATCACTAACGGACATCAGGTAAAATGCAAAAACTATTTAATCATATGCACAAATGAATTTCGCGCCAAAATCCATGACCGCTTATCTTATATCTGATTGGTTTGTCCACAAATTATATTCTCACCTTAAAAGATCATGATGATCTTTATTATAGTATCGGATTTTTTTTACAAGTACTTTCAAAATGGGATTGATAATAAAACAGTAATGGTTGTAGTATTATTATTTATTTATTTAAACACATAAATATTAGTACAAGGGGGCACCAGATATATATGCGCCACACAAAACAATGAGAATGGGAAGAGAAAAAGAATGTAAGGTGCGTACAAGAAAAAAACAATAACGACCACAGATTAGTTTATGGTAGTGAAATAACAATAATAATAATGGGGGGAAACGGAAAGGTACAACCAGAAAGAATCCTTTCAGTTATGAAGAAAGTAAAATAAGGTTACAACACGATAGCCACTAGCTTCTATTCTGAGCCATATCTGATAACGTCTCTAGCCACTGTGTTGCACCATCTCTCGGACCCCAGCCAGGGAGTCGTGACCAACAGAAGCTAGCCCTTTACAGCTCTGTTTCATACCACGACATCATGTCATATACTGACCACCTCTCCGCTTTTTCCAACCAGTCCCAGAGTCGGCAAATAATGCACGACGAGGAATTCTTTGGGACGACATTCGTAGAACATGTCCAAGCCACCGAAGTCGATGTCTCAATATGGTGACACCAATTGCATTATCGTCCTTGTGCCCGAACACACGATGCCGAACCTCTGCATTACTAACATGGTGTTGCCACTGAATGTCAGCAATCCTTTGGAGACAACAATGATCAAACACAGAGTCGTCAAACATCTTCAACTCGGAGAGATCAGGTTTCACAAGTATAGAGCAAAGACTTCTCTCACCGACGCATTGTCTCAGTAGTAGTAGTAATGTGTTTGTTTATTTTAATGATTCGTTCTATGATTTCATTATTTCATGATATCACCAAAAATCGTTAAATTCATTCACATATATTATCATAATTAATTATCTATTTTTTTTGTTTTTGCATGTTTAAAGTAATTTTTGTTTATTTATTGTTATCTGAATTTTTGTTGTTGTTTTCGTTGTTTGTATATTTTATCGAATTTCTTTTCTTTGATTAACTTTATTTCATTGTATTCTAATATTTGAATAAATTAAACACAGTTTTAAAATAAATAATATATTTGTAATATCCTAATAAGTAGATGTTAGGTTTTGAAAGAGAGAGAGCTATCACGGGTTCACGTAGTTTGCGAACGAGAACGAGGATTCGGTGACCAACGACCAGTAAGCTATCTATTGACGCGCCCCAGCCCCGCTATCTATAGTGAGAAGTCCCGGCTTGAAATGAGAAGTATATTCTGCAACCACCAGAAAACCAGCAAACCTTTTTAACAAAGACAATTTTAAAACGTATATATATACATCAATATTGTCATGGAGCTTTTAAACATTTAATCGATAGTTCGTCAATTGACTGCCATCGAAATATTTAAACATTTAATCGATAAATTCGTCAATCAACTATGTGCGTGGATGGTAAGAAATGCTCACGTATACATCTGCATACAAGCTCCACTAGATAAATTACAAACTATGAGTTTTTGGGGATCTATCGTCTCCAACAGTAGAAAATATAGATTTTCTGATGTTTCGTGACTTAGTGTAAGTCACTTCTTCAGAGAATAAAATTAAAATTAGAACAAAATATATAAGTGAACAATACTATTTCTAATTAGTTCTTCCATTTTTTGATCTAATATACAGTAATATTTATATGCATATATTAGAAAATATCAAACCCAGTTAAAGGTGTTAATAAGCCAATTATAACAAAGAAGTAGATTACATAATTTAATATAATCAGCAAAAAAATTACAAATTGGTGATAAAATAGATAACTGATCTATCAGTACCGATTGGAATAGGATGAAATACGCGTACTGGATTGCATTACTAACCACCATCTATCTCTAATTGTAAAAATAATAAAAACTAGAATTGTTATTTCAATATAAGTAGTATGTTGAAACTTGACTAAATAGATACCGAAATAATAATCAATAAAATTACTCAATAAAGAAGACTAATGGTCATAGTTATTGTTATTTTAAGCAATCTTATGACTACTGATACACCTCTTTTCTTACTATCGGTTTTTACATTTTACTTATTCGTTTTAGTTACATAATATATTTCATGATTATTATTGTTAACTGACTTGCTTGGTTTAGTGCTTTTTAATATCCCCATTTAAATATATCCTGTATGATAGAATAAAGTCTGATAACTATCTAGTTTCAAACAGTTTTTATGATAAGAATGATTATTTTAAAAGTTGAACTGCTCATCTCTTTTCTATTTTATTTCTGTGAATTCTTTTCTAGAACGTAATTTAAATCCTAAACAAGCTTGTTTAAAACGTCGTGAGGAGGAAAAAAGTGGTGAAGCGCCACATTTCAGTGGTAGCACTGGGGGTGGCTGTGGTAGCAGTAGTAATAGTAGTAATAATACACATATCAATTCAATTGGAAGCGCCATAAATCGTTTGTGTAATACTAATTCAGTAAATTATTCTACTCCTGTGGTAACATCGTCATCACAAAATCCATCAAGTCATATATTGGATTATGATCCACGTCTATCTCATATTACACATGGAACTGGTATGTATATAGTCTACTATTCATATGTTAGTTAAAAACTCTTTCGTATTTAACGTTAAACGGAGTAATTAATTTTCTAAATAGTTTCACTCCGATTCTTATATTAACTATAATATTCTTAGTGCCTACTTTCACAAGTTTCAAAATTTCAGGTAACATCACGGTTTACTTCTTACTTACACCTGTTACTCCCCCTGGAGGAGAATAGGCCGCTCACTATCATTCTCTATCCAACACTGTCCTGGGAAATCCTTTCCGGTTGCTATTCATCTTCTTCATGTCTGTTTCTAATTCTCAACTCTGTGTTCTTTGGCCTTTCTCTTTTCCGTTTCCATTCAGGATTCCAAGTTAGGGTTTGTCTCGTGATGCAGTTTGATGATTTCCGAAATGTATGTCCTATCCACCTCCGTCGTTTTTCCCTAATTTCCTCTTCAGCTGGGCGTTGGTTTGTTCCCTTCCACGGTAGGTTGTTGCTGATGGTATCCGGTCGACGGACATTAAGTATCACGTAGACAATTGTCTATCAATACTTGTACCTTTTTGGTAAAGGTTTTTGTAGTTCTCTGCGTCTCAGCTCCGTACAGTAGAAATGTCTTGACGTTCGTATTGAAGATTCTCACTTTGATATTGGTTAACAGTTGTTTTGAGTTCCATATGTTCTTCATCCGTAGGAATGCTGCCTTTATGCCTGTATCAGATGCTCCTTATTCATCGGTGATACTATTCAGGTATGGAAACGTTTCCATCTGTTCCAGAGTTTCTTCATCAAGTGTGACAGGGTTGGTGTTCTGTGTGCTGTATATGAGAATGTTGGTTTATCCTTTGTGTGTGTTGAGGCCTGCTGCAGCAGAGACTGCTGCTAAAATGTTTGTCTTGACGTGCATGTGTTGATGTGTATGGGATAGAAGAGCTTGGTGATCTGAGAAGTCGAAATCGTCTAGTTGCATCCAAGTTGTCCATCGTATTCCGTGTTTTCCGTCAGATGTGGAGGTCTTCATAATCGAGTCATCCACCAGACGCTGGAGAAAAGTGGAGATAATCAGCGTTGTCTGTTTCCGTTTCTCACTCGAAATGTGTCTGTGAGCTGTCCTCCATGCACGACTCCGTACTGTCGTCCGTCGTATGAATTGCGTATGATGTTGTTGACGATTTTCTGAGATAAGCCATAATATGGAAGAACTTTCCATAATGTTCTTCTATCCACACTGACAAACACCTCATAGTAAAGGAAGTTATACTATAGTAAGGAATTCTATCCAATTGATTGTTCAACAGTGATTCGTAGTGTGGTGATTTGGTTTGTGTAAGACCGATCCTTACGAGATCTGATCTGTTGATCTCGAAGTTGGGCATCTAATAAATCTTTTATCCGTTTTAGCAACACTATGGCGAAAATTTGTCCTGATACTGCAACAGTGTGTTGTCTCTATAGTTCTCACATTTGCTCGGATCTCCTTTCCTTGGTATCCTGATGAGGTGTACTTTCCAGTTCGTGGGCACTTGTTCCTTTTCCCAAATCTTCTTAAATAGAACGCGAAGCGTGTTTGTAATTAATTCAATGCCTGACTTCAGTTGTTATGTTGTGTGGTCCTACTGGTCTCCCACTTTTGATTTAAAATTATGTTAAAATTCGACATACTTATAAATACGTAGGTGGTTAAAAATGGATATGTATATCATGGTATTGTGGAGGTTTTAATAAAGTTAATAAGATCGTAAAAAATGAAGACAGATTAACGATAATAAAAAATCATGTAAGTTGAAATCACTTAATTAGAATTAAAATTATGAAGTCAGGAGAAATGAAAGTGACTTAATTAAACTTGAGAAAGAGTTGAAATTAAAATAATGATGCAATAAAATGAATGTATTATTATCAGGGTAAAAAAGGTTTGTTACTGTTTCTTATTAAACACATAGATCTGGTTTTAGACGTTACATCTCTATAGCTTCGGCAAATTACAGAAAATTGGTATTCTATTGTTTATTGGTCATCTTTAGTGTATTCAATTCCATTCGATTGAATAACTAGATGGTTTACAACATTTTACACATTTTAGCTGTCTATGGCGAAAATATGCCAATAGTTAATAGTCGTAATGATTATGCATCATCGAATACTGGATCTGCTGGGGATGTTTGTACTCCTGGTTTTTTACATTCTGAAGTTCAACAATGTCCATCGGAAACTTATACCCATATTACGTCACAACAGCAACCACATCATTTGTCGATAGTTAATAATAGTTTTACTAAAAATGCTACTAATAATAAATCTTCAGATAATTGGCATTCTGGTTCCATAATACAATCAGTTCAATCCACACATTCATTAAATAATAATTCACAAAGATTTGGAACTATTGGTATGGCAAGTCATAATTCAGGCGAAGAATATGATGATGATGATGATGAGGAAGATGATGAAGATGATGTTGAAAGCAGTGAAGATGAAACTAAACCTTCAATAGTACGTTCTATTTTAAAACCTGATATAGACAATGAAAACAGGCATTCTGTTCATCATTCATCTACTTCTGTCCGCTCTGATAATAACAATAATAGTAGCAGTGGAAGTTGAATCTTTTTTTCTTTTTATCTCTTTTTCAGATGTTTTAAATTTTCACAAAATCATCTCTATTATTATTGTTATGAATTACTACTTATTACTAGTCCAGTTATATTTGTGCATTTATATTGTTTGAATTGCATTTTCATGCTTATTGAGGTTCTTTTTCTAAATATGATGCATTTATGCTAGTTTATTTTAAGGTTTATTATTTCCACTGTTATAATTACCATTATTATATAAATTAAGTAATCATATACATTATAAAACATTACAAAATGTTTAAGATCCAAGTATGCTTATTTTTATGCTTAGTATTGATTAATTTTATAAAACATATACACAACATTGTTATAAAGTGACATAGTAATCTGTAATAATGACAATTATGATTATTTCTACCCCTATCTATCTATCTATCCATCGTCAAGTTACTTGTTCTTTCAGTATCCAATATTCCTTCGTGAAAACGTTTATATTTTTTGTCTTATGCATTTATTGTTTAATTCTCCCCCTCCTCCTCCTCCGGTTGATTTAATCTTTGTTTGATTCAGGTTACTTTCGGGATTTGTACACAATCAGTTACCTGTTTCAAAATCTATAAGTGTATCTATGTTTGTTGGTCTGTTATTACTATTATAGTTGTGTTTATTCACCAATTTTATGTATTGTATTGTTTCTAAATTTAATTGTTCTAGAGTATGTTCTTGAAATTTAAAAAAAAAAAGAATAATGTTTTGAGAAATTATTAGTTTTTCCATTTCGCTAAAGATGTCAGTAGATCTTAGATAATTAGAGACAGTTCATTTCCCATATTATGTTATTGGGTTGTCTGTAATTTTGTATGCGGTCGACTTGTCTATAGAAATGAATCCCCATAAGACAACTATTGAGAACTTATTGTTCTGATCTGTAGCATAGAATGTATACGAATTAGCACTCGTTCTCTGTACATTATATATCTGCATACAAAATTACTTGGAGAGTGTGGAATTAACTCTGGATTTCACGTCCGATGTCAAAACTCTACGACTTTTAAGGTACTGTTTCTAACGAATATTATTTCTACTTGTTTCATGTTTGGCTACCCTTGTTGAATCAGTAATTTTAATGAAAGTGGGGTGTCCCATCTTATCAAGTAGATCTAAAATCGGTATTTTGTGAGTTCAGCCTTTGAATTTTATTTTGTTTTCATGTTTAAGCAACCGCTTTTTATGCAGGTTGCTTGAAAGCTTATCTCTAAAAACCAATATAGAAATTATGGATACTTTCGAAAAACTCAAATCTTCAGATAAGTTCTAGCTTGATTGTGATACCAGGGCGTGCAACTGGTAAACCCAGTTTTGAGAGTGGAATATCACTTAAGGTTGCAGCTTTCTATTCGAGACATATACGGATTCAGGTTTCCTTGCAACGTTTTTCCTGCATCCAGTAAGATGCAGCCAAATACGTGCTCGCACTAGAGCATGATCTGAATCTAAGCATGTGCTCCGGAATGGGCGATCGTCTTTTATCGAGCCCCTCCATCGGTGGCTGATAGCGATGCGATCTATTTGGGTCCGACGTTGGTACGAATTCGAAGATCGCCATGTCAAAAGGTGTTTCTCCTTATGTTTAAATCTAGTATTTCCAAGAAACATGCGGTCGCCATTATTCTTTGATACACGACACCATAAGATCCACCCAGGTATCTTTCGCTTAGTTTACCTACTAGGATCCTGTGTGCGCGTTTCGGAGACGCAGCACACATCGATGGAGTGAGATTCTAAAGTCTTGGCTTAGGAAGCCTGTTGTTCTATTTGGCACAGTGTTCGGACGTTGAAAGCTCCTACGTGTAGTTTGAAGCGTGGTTTCAGGAGACCAGGAATAACGTTCCGCGTACTCGGATCGTTCGCACTAGCGGGGCGTGGTGATAAAGGAACGTGAGAAGGGTTAGTCGTGGAGATAAGAGGGTTATTAAGAGCTGTAGGAAGGATTTGAATGTGACCAACTTGGTCTCGTGTGCTGTTACGGGTATGAGGGCTGATGTCACTTCCTGGCTGTCCACACCGTAGAAGCGTATTTCTTGAGGAACCCAAAAAGGGAATCCGATTAGTGTTTTTCTTAACGACCTGGGTGAATGACTGCAGAGCCCAAAGGATAACTGCTTGAGTCCGGTCGCGCACGGCCTTTTTGTGGGAGGTTTTTAATGTGTTAGCTCCGTTCTTCGAAGGGTCTTACCGCAGAAGACGGAAATCTGTGGGGTAAGGTGAGTTGTGACATTTTTAGGGCCGACCTTTTCTAACCCCTCCCGTCCTTGTGAGAAGGCAGCATCGCTGCAGATGCTGGTTGTCCGAGGGAAACACCTTACTGCTGTCACACCTCTGTACAGTCAGCAGTACGACTTCGCCCTCAGACCATGAGTTGCTGCTTTTAGTCTTACCGTTCTCCAATCGACCTGCCTGGAATGACAGAACATACAGGAACATGTGTTCCAGCCAATATAGCTCGGTTGGTTCATCACGATAGGCAAGCCCGACCAATATGTCAAGGTAGCAGCTATGTTCGGGATAAAGTGTCTTAGAATTGTAAATGAATGGGCTGTTACCTTCTCGTAGCGCTATTATCTATTAAAAATGAATTTTGTTTACACCTAAGCTTCTTTATTAAATAAATTACAGGCTTTCTTGTTGTTCATTTGGCAATCTAATGATAATTACTCATGGGTATGATCGGTTTAGGCAGTCGAGCAACATTTTGTAAACTGTAATGGAATTTGCTATAATACTGATACCAGTTCACACTGATGTCATAGGGGTAATTTGAGAGGAACACTTCCTTTGAGCAAACGGATGCAGTTGCGTCATGACAAATCTATAATTTTAGGATTAATTATATTGTTAATAACTATTAGAGTAGTAATAATATCATACTAGACCATAATTCTACAAGTACATTCTGGACCATACAGAGGCTATACCCAATACTCAGCTAGAGAGACACAAGATGGACTATTGTAAAAAATACATTAAAATTAATGTGCTAACTGAGAATTTCAGAAACAGTGCAATTTAATCCAAACAGAATTAGAAGAGCGCTAATGAACGTATTGTACTTAAAATTCGAAATCAACCACAGATTGAAGTACAAAACAATCGTTAGCTCGTATAAACACCACATGGAGCCAAGGATAAAACATACAACGGATAATGGGAATCTTGATACGATTTCCAAATATAATGCGTTCATTTGTGTTCATACAGTCGTAATTGCTGTAAGTTGCACTGTTATGGGGATTCGTAGTTAACAAATAAATTCGAATACTTCCAATCATTATAGATCACCAGACAGATATTTAGGGCCAATGGAATGTCACTGAGCCTTAGCCTAAACATCCGGCGGTTGGGTCACTGAACATCGACCAGTTTGCAGATTTCCATTAAGGTCGATGACAGCCAACGAGCATAAAACAATTGCACGCCGTGGAGTGGCTCATGCAGTAGTGGTCGCACTCTGTTCCTTATATCTACTCCTACCAGTATATGTCTGTAATAACATCGCTTGTATTTTATGGTCACCATAGAAACTATAGCAGGTCAAGTACTAATCGTAAGGTATGACTTCGACTTCAGCCGCTTGGTCACAACATTCCCATCTATTTCGAGTAAGTCATCATTCGTTTGACGCAGATAACCTACTTTGGTGATCAGTAGACACATGGCAGGTAAGCAAAGGAAGGGATATTAGACGGATTGATATAAAGGATTCGGATAATTCATATAACAAGGCATGAATGAACTGGGAGAATCTAATTAATGTCATCTACTCTTTCAGATGCTATATTCTAAAAGGAGTACTCAAGATGCCACAGGTATTCGGAGTTTGACAACACTTTAACCAGTAACACCTTCTAATATGAATTGTGCCCACCAAGTGAAATCAAAAGACAGAAGCGAGGAGATCGAAGATATATTTGATAAGCTATCAATATATCGAGGATCGTTTGCACTAATCTGGCTAGCGATTGAGGCAGATGTTGAGCACGGCGTTCGCACACGTGATCTGGTGCGGATGCATGACCGAGCGCGTTCAGCTAGATGAGTCCATTAAAACCAATGTGGTCAGCATCCAATGTCGGAAACTTACAGACCTATTTATTTTGGGGATTTATTTACCGCTATAGTATAAAGTTTTGTAGATTTTATATGCTCGTATCAGTCACTGTAGTTGATTACTTTTTCTAACGCGGAAATGAATGGATCGAAATAGTTACACAGTAGTTTACTTAGTAAAGTAAGTAATGGCACCCGAGACCATGGTTGACCAGAGTTCGAGTTTAGCTGAATAGTGTTAGAGTTTATGGGCATTGAGACAAACATCAACCAAGCTAGATGCAAATACGTCCATCACTATGCACACAACCCTAGTGATATCCAGATCAACAAGCGTAGCTCGGACCAACGTATCTTTATTGATAAGGGGACGCAGAGATGTTTAAAAAAGTTTAGAGCAAAATTGTCTGCAGACTCTGAAATTTTGAGTTTAACCACAGGCAGTAGGACTTAAAAAGTTGTACTTCCTAAAGGTGTTTCTTTATGGATTAAGAGATTATCTAATTATGATTTTTAATATACTAGGAAACGACTCCGAAGTTCAGGTGTCGTAGTTATTTCTTTCAACTATAAGTTAATAAATAATATATATTCTCAGAAAACGAATTCTTACATGAATATTGCAGGTTTAAAGGAAAGGTCAAATTTTTACGAATGTAACAGGTTTTAAGTGGCTGTATTATAGTTATAAAAATGAGGGATAAGTTTTCGTACATTAGAATATTATTATTAGCAGATCTCTAATGTTCACTATGATAGTTAGCGTGCTTTGCGAACGTTCAGTCGTGACAAGCGATTGGTGATCGAGAATAAATGCAATTAAAATCCATATTAGTCACTCAAAGACGACAAGTATAATGTATTTTTAATGCTTCTCGATAGTGATCACAGATAAGTTCCGAAGGTTTTAGGGATGACGCAGGGCGAGGACATATGTCCCATATATGCTTTCGGTGATGTACCACGGTGCTGAAAAAGCGTGAAAAACGGAAGGGTTAGAAGTAGGACTGACTGTGTC